TCTTCGGTCTCACTACGGAATGATAACATGATTTAGTAGTAACTCCGCCTCTTGGACGTTCAGCCAATTGTCCAAACCTACTCGCAGCTACTCTCGCTTTAGCTGCTACGAACTGAGTGAGTTCGGCGAACGTCGGCTCCCTGTCCTCTTCTGTCAATCTATCTACCACTTCGGCCCATTGTTTTTGCATAGGTTGGGGCAGAAATCTTACTACTCTCTCTAACGTAACCGGCGAATTCAAGTCGGCAGTGTAATTCATTTGCTCTAGAATCATGCTACAATTTTCCATCCTTATTGCTAAACTTGAGAGTTGCTCGGCGTCATGACAACCATGCCTTACATCATTGAATAAATCCTCCAAAGTCTCTCTTGCTATAACCTGAGCTTGACCGAATAATCGTTTCAAAATATCTCTAGCTCTTTTATACCCAGACGTAGCCTCCATCATTACACATCCTTCGATGGCTGTTTTCGCCTTACCCTTGCAATAATGGAGCAAATACAGCAAACGTTGACTATCATCAGATACTCTTGCCGCAACGTAAGTATCGTATTATTTTATAAACTTCCAATATTCCTTCGGCTTTCCATCAAAATAACACAATTCAACTTTTGGTAGCTCTAACTCAACTATAGGAACCTTAGGTGTTGTGCCCGAGACTGCATGCCTAAGTCTTTCCCCTTTATCTAAACTAATATCCGATACTTTATCTAACATTACGTCACTATCACTATCACTATAGCTCTCTTTAAATACATTAGAACCATGAGGCGTAAAGACATCAGAAAGAACTTGCTTTGTACTAAGGGAGTTGTCGTTAACTTTGTCTTTATCCTCTCCGATCAGCTTAGGGATTGACTTCTTTGCACGATTGTTGGGCATCTCGAATTATCGACCAAATTTGGTTCAGAACTGTGAGCGAGGACCAAGCTGCAAACTGACCAATATTTGTTCAGGACTGTTGAACACGGACCAAGCTGCCAACCGACCGATAATCGTTTACAACTGTAAGTTCTTCCAAGCAGCCAACCAATATTCGTTTAGAACTGTAAGATCCGAACCTAAATTTCAATAGGTCTGGATGTGGCCGAATAACTGTTAGATAGCTTTAGACACTCGTGTCTCAGTTCAAATCAAAACAAGTTATATATTTGACACGGTTCTGTAATTCTTTATATATACAAATGTACAAATTTACCTAAACGAATATTATCACCCGGTTATTCAACCAATAATTGATACAAAATATTCAATCTAAATTACAATAAATAGCAAGGTGATAAGAAATATATGGAAACTACCAAAAGCACCGAAAGGTAAACGTTATTCTATTCTTTCTGGATAGATCAAGTGAGATGTCGTTTGAGCCGCTATTTTATAACACCAAGTGTTTCAATTTCTGGGAAGGTGCTCCAAATACAACCAAAAATGCACGATCCCAGTCAAGTTCAAATCGCACAATCAAAAGCGAGCAGCCAATATGGCAGATGCCAGAATAATAGCAATTAAAACAAACTATATACAATTCAGTGAGGAACGTAGAGACTCAATAAAAAACGATAGTTAAATCAAGAAAAATTGAACGTTACAGTCTTAATTAGCATCAAAAATGTTAACAACATATAAAAATAAAGAACACGTAAGGAAGAAATCACAAGTGTATGCATGGAGGGATTTTCACCAGCAAAATGGATCCAACAAAGGGATTTGTGTAGATTGTAGAATCTGGAAAATTCAAATCACGAACTGATCTTAGCTGGAAAACCATTGAAGATCCAGAAGCGCTGAGTGGACGTCTCTTGCTAGTGTAGGACTTTACCAACTATTCCGAGATTAAACACGTGTTTTCAGTGGGTGAGAATGTCATAACTGATGACAATAGATTAGGGCTGAGCTGTAAGGTAGGTGCTCTATAGTTTTCAGTTTGGGTTCTATTACTTTAGCTCACCAGACTGTGAGTGGGGATCTGAATGTTGTGTTTGTGGTTCATTATGGTATCGTTGGTGCCGTTGGAGTTCCGAAGAAGGAAGGAAGAGTTTCCCAGACCTCCTAGTTTACGATATTTTCACATTCTTTTACCAAAGTAGTTATTTCATTGTCAAACTTGTAAACACATAATATGTAAGTCTATCTTATCAAGGGAATATATGTACGTTGACATCAATGAAACACGTAACAAAATTTATCTAGCGAAAATGTCTATTTTCTTAAACAAACCGATTTACTGTAGCTGCCGAATGGGCTGTGGTAAACGAGAAAATATCTTACCATGACTGAATTTACTATGATTGAATGCCCAAATGGTACTTCGTTTTAGAGAGACTTAATTGAGATTATTAGGCAATACGAAGTATCAAAACTACCGGGTCGAATAAATTAGTCAATATTACCTAGGGTTTTTGAAACGGTGATTCTTGAACATATCAGTAATATTCTGAAGTAGTTGAGTATAGATCAGCATGAGAACACTGAACACGCATGTGTAATCATTGGTATCATATATTTCAGTTGTAATATATGGCTTTCATTAAAACAGAATACTGAGGTTAGTAACTAGAGAAATGAATGATGTGACTGTTTCCGTATATCTCTGTATTCTTCTAAAGATATTCTGAAGTTGTTGAGTATAGATCAGCATGAGAATACTGGACACACATGTGTAATACGTTGGTGGTTTGAGGTGGTCAACCAGAAACCCTGAACCCGGGTTTCGTTCTACTTGGCATTCGTCAGCAAGTTGTGCCTATAATCTTGAGGGAACTGATGCCTCATGACGGATTCGAACCCGTGTCACCAAGCTTCACAGTTAGAGACGTCACCTTTGAGCTATTCAGGCCGCGATCGTCCTCCTGTAGGACTGAGATGTAATCACAACTGATTGATAACCACCCAATGATCGACCAATTTTGAACAAATGTGTAATCATTGGTATCATATATTTCAGTTGTAATATATTATCTTTAGTTAAAACTGAATAGTGAGGTTAATTACTAGAGAAATAAATGATGTGAATGTTTCAGTATATCACTGTATACTTGTGAAGATTTATATGTAATATGCATTAGTTTGTAGATCATGACCCCAGAATCTCTTATTGATTATTCTCTCATTTGCTCACAATTAAAAACCCTTGAATGCTTAATATATAAGCCTGTGAAACTGGCTCAAAGTAACAGACTTAATAGTTCTTGCAAAATATTGATTTAGAAGATATTTCACATTTGATGGATGATAATTATGTACTTTGGATAAATGATACACATTGTATTGTTTATATGATTCTGTATTGAAATGGAATTCATCAATGCGTGTGATCTCATTGAAGTTGTTTTTTTAATATTTTAGTTGAACTTTATAAAATATTCTAAATGTAATCAGTTTGTACTCTAAATTTATGTTTAGGAAGTGTGAGTGTGAATGTACACTAATAATAGTAGTCGTGATCATCACAATAATTAACAGTATTATTCATATACTCATTGATTTCTATCATTGAGGGGTAATTCTGAGAGTTCTAATGAGAAGCGTCTACTTAATGGAGTTTCAACATGTTGAATATGAGACAGAGATTTAGCGTAGGACATAAATGATCCCAAAGTATCGCGAATTGATTTAGGTCAGACTTGTACAGGACCGTATGTCAGTTGAGTAGTTTAAAGATTAGGCGATTTCCTTCTCTTGAAAATGATCTGTCAGATCACGATCAGGTAATGAGCATGCACTTCTGAAGAGTCCTATACTACGGAGAAATAACCATTCATAGTCTGTCATTTTCTAGTGGTTTACTAACCTAAGCTACCCTATGATGTGAAATTACAGGTTCAAATATCTCCTTATCCCGTCTTCATAGTCACGTCGCATTTTACAAATGTTATAAACATCATAGAATGTGAGTATTTTGAAGTGTCAAGCGACTCAGAATTCAGTTAAATCTTGAATCCATATAAGTTGACTATAAATTAACTTTTCAACAACTAATTTCCATCATCATGGCACATGCAAAAGGAAGTATGACGTATAACCTGATGTTATGACGGGTGATGTTCGAGGCTTATGCTGCTACACAAACTCCCTAAATTTTAGCCTGTAACTAACTACTAAGCAAGAAGCTAATTGTGAATGGGAAAATTAGTTGGGCTACTGAATCACACGGAAAAACGCCCATCTGTACGGATTTCTTTGCCCTTGGAAATGAGTCCATTGATTGAATGTTAATGAAAAGTCTCCTATTGATAAAATGCATATATATATCAATAAGAGACTGATCAATTGCAGTCTTGAACATCAATGGTCAGATCCCATCAACTTATACAAAGACGATTTTGAACTTCATCCCATTGCACAAGCTCATGACTATCTAGACTCAGTGGAAAACTTGATAGCATTTCAAACGAAAGTTTCTGGGTTCGCGTTCCGAAATGATCATCAACTCTGAGATATAGATACATCCTGAACTCAACTACTGTTCACTATGGATAGTCCTGCTAAAATAAATAAAATTTACTGATAATGAGTATTTCTGTCACAGATATACATCAAAATAAAAATAGAAAAACACCATTGTTAACAATGAAATACACGACCATATAAATGTAACATTAGAATTCTTTTCATTGATAATGAATGTGGTATAACAGTATAGATTGATAGTGAATGTCCATCAAGAGTACTACTATAATCTGTATAACTAACATTCTTAACATTACAATGTATAAATAACTTGGTATTTGTGTTTACTACAAAAATGGTATTAAATGGATTATGTTTTACATGAATATTGATGTGATATAGAATAATGTCATTGTTCTATGAATATGCAAGTGAAAAGACCTTCTAATCATTTAACTGATTCTATACAAATTTCACACTGAAATTTGATTGGCGGTCACTGGAAATGCTTAAAATTATTCTGTCGTATTTGTGAATATTTTATGTCAGTTAAATTCTTATTCAAACTGAGTATATAAATGGTGATTTTGTTGATGATTTAACTGAGGAAGCTTTGGATAAGCACAAACCACTAATCAGAAGGAAATGGTACGTCATTATCTATTCACTGAAATGAACATTACCGTTTGATACTACTTAAATGCGTTTTGAATATGTCTTCCTTGTATCGTTATGATTATTAATATGATAGTCATTACTATTACTGTTAATGGTCTGTTTGGGTATATTTTTAATCTGATTGATGTTATTCAGGATTACATTTTGATCAGAGTTGGTTGGTTAATCGAACACCTCCACATTGACTTGTAGTGACCTACTTTTATGATCAGAACGAAATTGTTATAATGGAAACATTTATGTTATTATAATCAATCTCACTAGTAATTGTTTTACTGTACCTGTTTAAGTGTACAAAACATACTAATTCTTCCGTTGTCTATGCTGTTGCACGAACTCGTGTACGCTCAGTAGTTCCGCTCGTAAAGTTTGACACGATCATGTTATTATTTTGATACCAAAAGATTGCCAACTAATATATCTTATTACGACAGTCAACTGCTTTCAGGTTTTTAGGCCCACGGGGGGGATCTAACCTAATACCTGGCACGCAATATTTCTGTAGTAGTGATCATAGTCAATCACGACTCGACGCTCACTACAGACTGTAGCAACAATTTTGTGACTTACCTTACTATTGGATTAAAAGACAGAATGTTGAAAATAGTTATCTACCTAACACAAATCTATTCGATTCAAGTAGTAGATAACACTCTTATTGTAACCAAGTAAATAATACTGAACTATTCTGTCATATACACGTCACTGTTAAGCTTTACTTTGAGGACCATCAGGGATCACTGCAATTTTTACGACGCGAAGTAAGAACATGAAGACGAACAAAGATCCAATAGCTCCAGAACACGACGACGCCGACGACGACGATCCTAGTCGAAAATACACTCATTTACACATATTGATTGCATACATATTTCGATTATTAATTAGGACGAAATGACATACATGAAATATACCTAGAGTAATAATCAACCACATGATGCATGTCATACTGAGCATAGTCTCAAGCGATTTCCAATACATGAATATCGTTTCTTGAATAAACATGCCACTCATGCCAAACAAATCAATGTCATAACGAATAAAATATCACAATAGAAACCAAAAACAAATACCACACTGAATTATTATCATATTGAATTATGAAGGGAAGTACTGTTAACTGGAAACTTCAATTATTAAAAGAATGTAATCTTACCCTTCTATCTCTTTATATCCCTTTCAAAAGGTTGATTCAAATCAGACGTATATTCATCAAACTACTCAAAGTCAACTGGTAAGTGTAATGAGATACATATATGAAATCTCAATATGTTAATAATAACTGAATATCTAACAGCTGGTTAAAATATTTGACAAAACAACTGATTTTCATTTGCATTTTGTTACACAGTAAATCCTGTATACCATTCCACAGGTCCACTGTTACCAATACAGTCCACAGTAGTTTAATATTAAATGACCACCAATTGTATGGATTCACAAGAATACTAGGTTAGCATGATGGTATATGTCACATGACACTAGTCAGGGATTCTAAACACTATTTTCACAAACCATACACACATGATGAAATCAAGCAAAAATTACAATTTGATTGTTCAAATTGAAAATCACATTCATAGTGTAGTCGGTCAATGAAAACTATGAACTAGATTTATCACTGCCTTTATTTGAGTAATAAATTGCAGCGTGAATGAAATCTTCGGAGATTCTGAGGATTCCAAATGGAAGAGGAATTAGACAGACTACGTTTAATTACTCATCTAAGAGGAATGACTCTTTCATGCAACTGATGACTTTCAGTTTTCGATAAAACGGACTAAATGAGTTGCAAGAAATCATGACTTTTAACAAAACTATTTCAAGCTACATTTTTATTTCGCTAAACTTATACGATTTCATGTCATTTCATCAGTGTTGAGTTATTGATAAGACTGTACAGCTTTTCAATCATCATTCACTCCTTGACATGTATTCGTGTATAGTTCAAAAGTGATTTGAGGACATTGGAGGATTTTATACTAGTAAGATTATCATTGTTTAGTTGATTTATTCAACGGAGGGTTTATAAATGATGTCATAAACGTTATCAGTAGTATTCAGTTTAAAACTGTGTAGCAGATTGATAGCTGACTAAAGGATTTTCGTTGTAACTAACCTAAAAGTGCATATGATCCAAAGCTATATGAAGTCAAATCAACTTGACTATGAAGTCGAAGAAAGGATTGCTCGTTCGATCGCGCATAGCTATGTATAGTTTAAAATAGTCTTCTGCTGTGGGATTAGACAGGGAAACATTCTGAACAATATACCAATAACATTTAATCACCATGTTCGAATGTAGTTGATAGAAGCACCATATTTGTCGGCTCATAATCGTGACAATAAACAGAGGAGCGTCGAAAGTTTGAAGATGATTGTTCACGGTGACTGTTAGAGTCCCATTCGGCATCATCATTTAAATGTATGTTGACAGTAAAGTTATATCTACTATAGTAAGTGAAATTTCACATTGATATATGTAACGGTGCTAGTCTCTCTTCTTTCAATCTAGGATATCACATCTATTTTGAAATTCCCTATAGAGCATTGGCGCATTTTGTTAATACTACTCGCAGTTTCTTTGATAATTTACAAACTTTTACAAGTAGTAACGATATGTTTCAAGTTTACTGTTAAAAAATGGTGCTTTACTAAACGGAAAACACTTTGTAAAGCTGGTGAATGGGCAGTTGTGACTGGTGCATCGTCAGGTATTGGTGAAGCGTATGCAGAAGAATTGGCCAAAGAGGGTCTCAACATCATGCTTATCAGTAATGATGAGGAACAACTATCGATCGTTGCCAATCGAATCGCAACTACATACAATGTTCAAACACGAATTGTGGTTGCAGATTTTACTAAAGTAATATTCATTCTCAATTAAACTGTTATTCATGTTATCTTGAAATCATTATCATTGAAATAAGTAATCAGATTGATTTGTCACTCGGTATATGTTTATCTGTATTTGTGTATGTGTGGTTCTACAGTGCCACACAATCTACCCAGTACAGTATTCATAATTACCTCACAAATGTTTTTGTGTTTTCTCCAGTCCATAAGGTGGAACGATGGTTAGTCATCAAAGTTTCCGTTTGGTTACGAGTAAGGCGACAGAATGAGAAAGGTGATTGCAGGTGATATATAGTGAGAGGAAGATAGAGAGGCAGTTGACGTGTCTGCAATGATGATAATACACGACAAATTTGGGAATGAGTATTTTACAGTATAATATCATTTTGGTCATCCTCACCTCTCACTCCATCCTGTCACCTCATCAACTACTTCATTCAAACAACTATTTGCATCAAGCTACACTACATAATACCAACATTCCAGAGTGACGAATCCACACGGACTGTATGAGCAAAGAGCATGTTGTGTGGTTTGTGTGGCTGATTTGTTGAAACACATATCAGTTTGTTGTTGACTGTCGATTAGTTCGAAACAACATCCACATTTCAGTGATAATATCAATGAGATGCATGTGAATATTTAGTCGGATAGTTCGATGTTGACGTGTCTCTAAATGGAATTGATTGTAACAACATTGAATTTGTGTGAAGTATGAGACTAATGACAGATTCACACTGCACTAGTGTAAATGAAATTTGAGAGTGTGACTGAGTGGAATGCTGTTGTCTGTTGATAATTACTCACCCTGATCAGTGTGTTTTGAGATTTGTAAGTAAATGAAATACTTAGTGATATAACCTGTGTTCAGTCGTAGTTATTCATTCTGTGTGCGTATGTGTCAGGAGAGACTGGTCGACTGGCATTCAAATTTCGTTACGGAATAAACTGTTTACACAGTAATTGTAAGTATGATTACACACATTGTGACATTCATTGACAAGGAAGGAGATAGACAGTGGACATTTCTCTGTCAATATCATCACCGAATTTGTCACAACATCCTCTCATTTTAATACCAAGGCATCCACACAAGATGCACCTAAACTGACAGAAACTGATTGGATTTAAGTCGTGAATATTGAAAACGAAAATACACAGAGGCTCATCATCAAATCATAGTGTACTAGTTGGACGTAAAACAGAATATTCGGTTCCATCTATCTAATGTTCATCACGTTAGCTAAATAGAAATGATGTAAACAACTTGTCTCACACTCATCCACAACTCACGATCCAAACACATCAGCATATATTGACATTGTTGAAACATTTCAGATATTCCATCATTGAAACACTCTATAAAGCATTTGAATAATCAACTTCTACCAATTTTGTCTTCTCTTTTGTTTAGCATGATGTCTATGAAATAATAAGACCTGCTGTTGACCAATTATCCACAATCGCTTGTTTAGTTAACAATGTTGGTATGGGATTACCTTTTGAGTTGTTTAGTGGAGAAATTAATTCACCGAATGAAGAATCAATTAGAAATATCATTCATTGTAATATTTTGTCTGCAGTAACAATGACAAGTATAATTCTGCCGAAAATGTTAACACAAAAGGAACCTAATCCTGGTATTATAAACATTGCATCTTATTCAGGTTTAAAAGTGTTTCCTTATGCTTCATTGTACGCTTCAACCAAAGCAGCTATTATTCAATTTTCGAGATGTGTGGCTGCAGAGAAATATAAGAAGAATGTTATCATACAAGCGATATGTCCATTATTTGTGTCGACAAATATGACCAATCTAATGAAAACCACATTTTTCATACCAACTGCTAAAGTGTATGCTAAAAATGCATTAGATATGTATGGTGTTGAACAACAAACTTTTGGTTATTTTCGGCATGAGTTAAAAGCATATCTTTACAGTTTGTTGCCAACATCAGTTTTTATAAGAATTATAAGATTAGTAGCTAAATCAACACTAAAGAAGTCTTAGTACATTTAATCAAAATCATCAGATGTCGTTAAATCTTATTATTGTGTGATATTCTGTTGTCCATCATCATCAACATCATCATCATCATCATCATCTCATCACATATTCTACTTCAATTTATTTGTTACAAATAATAAAACACATATGTACTTGACGACATTTCTCGAAACGTTTTATCTCATATGTTTTTTATTGCCATTTTCAATTAATATGTTTTCATAAGGTGAAAATTTTGCTGAAAAATCTATTCACAATTTATTCATAGTTGTTAGCAATATATATATATATATATATCAGAAGGGGTATTGTGGATACTATGATAACCTTAATAGTTGAGGTCATGAATCTATTGAAGGTAGACCAACATGGAAAACCTGGAAGCACTAGACGGCCCATTGGGGTACTCATTAGCACGGTGCATACACGATCCTGCCTCGCGAGATTCGAACACAGGACCTATCAGTTACGCGCGCAAGCGCTTAACCTCTAGACCACTGAGCTGACCGGCATCCAACGGTGTGAATGTCTTACTTCAACCAATCCACGAAATTGAACGACACATACACCAATGTCTTCAGCGAGTTGATATCTCACAACAGACCTGGTTGAAATCCACTGGTCACTGCTTCTCACTAGAACTCCAGGAATCACCTCTTGAAGCCAGTCTCTAGTGAGCATATGTTGAATTATATATATATATATATTGTTTTCGATTGGATCCTCACCAGGATTTACTTGAATATACAGTAATATTTATATGTATATGTGAATCACAATAAGAAATCACAAATAAATTATTACTTTGTTGTTAATGTGCTATCCAATGCATGTTGTGCGTTATGATCGGTTAATTTATTACGTGATAGGCTAGATAATCGCAATACGTCTTGTTCAATCTTCACACCATATCACAAAAATAACCTGTTGACTGGTATGAGCAGTCTAGTCTCCTCATTGGTCCTTCATCTGACTATCTCTGCCCGTTGAGTCCAGTACAACAACAACAGCTTCCACTGTACAAATCATTTATTTCAAACATACATGGTTTAGATACAAGCAAACCAAAACACAATACATCACAAAATGAAAAATAACAATTGTACAAGACCAAGTCAGAAAGTGGTTGTGATTGTGAGAAGCTGTAATTAATAAACTGGGTATACCATAAGAATGGTGAACCGTATCATAATACTCTGTGGTTCAAAATAAAGCTTGTATTATTAGGAATATGAATTTACGTATCCTAGTTACTGAATAACTATACAATAAGAGTATACGTGTAATATTCGTTCGTCAACAGTTCTTAGCAGTCACCTGTAATTTAATCTTATTCAGGGTAGAACGCCCTTATATTAAGATTCGAAGCGTAGGTCCTGAATAAAAAATATGAGCATAACTTCAAATTCTCTGACATTATCTAATCCCACTAGATGATGTTGGATCCTCATATCCTCAAGTTATAAATTTTGTATATAAGATCATTCAAATTATCAATACTATCTGGAGCTCTATATATACAACCTAGGAGTAGACTATGGTTTAGGGTATTGATTGATATCCAGATCAATTCTGGTAAACTATTCAAGATACTATCTTCAACTTTGTTAGTTGTTAATGTATCTAAAGCAAATATAAGACAACCGCCTCCTCGCTTAGTTTCTCTGTCACAGCGATAGAGTCGATAGTTATGGATATTTAATTCGGAATCAGCTACTGCTGGATAACACCACGTTTCAGTGATAAGTATAAAAGAAGGCTTGGCTAGAAAGGCTAAGGTTCTCAAGGCTGAAATTTTGTTCAGAAGTGAACGTGCGTCAATAAGTAATAAGTTTACAAAGGGAGTGTGTAGTGTGAAAAAACTGAGAGCATCCTTATCGTTGGTATGAGTTCTAGATATGGCTGGACTATGGTTTAATATGTTTTCCGGATCGCATGGGCCATAGCATGAGCGAATTGTAGTGCTAGTGAAACAAGGGATCTCTGGAGGCCGAAAAAAATCTTTATTTTGGTAAGGTTGAATAATTTGTTGTACTTGTTTTGGAGGACAATTAAGACAGGTGTCTGCATGTTGGGGTTGCGTTGATGGTGCGTAACCTAGTATACCATCTTCCCCATTGCGAGAGTGATGATAAGAGTTACATCTTGCAGGTTTATTATTTATAACATTTGGGGGAAACCATGGGGCACGTTGGTTCATTGCCGTCTGTCTAATAGTAGGCCTGCTTACATGATGGTTGTAGTGGCCGTTGAAATATTTTTGGTATTCAGTCTAGAACCAGAAAATTTTCTATTTACTTTCTTCTTAATTGGTATATTTTTTTAGGTTTAGCAGTGTTTTTATGAGCCTTCACAATAGAATCAGGTGTTTGATAATTGCCTTCCGACATTACACTGGAAAGAATGACATTAGAGTCTACAGCAGATATGTCCTGGTTATCTGGGGCCACTATGAGTATGAGAGGCAAACTAGCACACTGCATTGGTATATCAGTACACTGACTAACATGAGATAGATTAGCTGAACCAGTGGGTTCAGCTGCTGGCGCTATCACATTTGTTGTGACCTCAACAATGTTATTTTCGTTCATGGTACGCTTTTGTGTTAGTCTTCGATTGGTGGTTCTGTCTGAGACTATACGAGCGTTTTTAAACTTCGTATGCGCACAGACTAGCTGTTCAGATTCTTTCAAACGTTCCGCTGACAAATGGGAATCGAAACTAAACAGGATAAGGCATAGGTATTTTTATATTTATATATTTTATATATATTTTATATTTATCGAATAGCTTTCGTTGTCATTCTGGACAACGTACTCAAAGTCTGAATAATGACATTGTTTTGATTGCACAACTAAAGTATATAGATTCGGCAGTTAGATGACTGATTGTTGAGCAGAGCATGATGATTTACATTATGATTAACATTATCATAGTCATTACATTATTATAGTCTGTTAATATTACTCTCAGAAGGAAAACTCTCCACACCCTTCAGCACCAACCCACCACAAAGAGGGGCTTCCATGTATGATAACAGTCATAACTATTTCCGGTTACGTGCAACAGAGCCCCATCATGCTCACACTAACGAAAACAGTTGTAACAGCGGCTGCGAGTTTAACCATTGAAACTATTTTGCAGATAACAGTACAATTTACATTCAACAGTCAACGATCAACCTTCATCTTCTGAACCCTTCTACGTCTCACCCACAAATATCACTACTCCATTCTCCATTAAACGTCTCTTCTATCTCTGTGTGCAGTATGCCAACCGTAAGACTAGTTGACATAGAAAGCGAAATACCCATGTGCATCGGAAAGTCGACACGGTCTACTAGACAGTTCCCATCAGAGAGTACTTCCACCCTTCCCTCCTGTGTAAACTCCACAAGCAACTTCACTAGCTCATTTGACACATCCCCCACTAACTCTAGCTGTCAAAATACAGAGCTATTGAAGAACATTCAATCCCTCACTTCAAACCCATATCACACCCGCGAGGGTTATGACAACTTTAATTGAGATACTCTCACACATTTTAACTTAGTAGGCTATCTGTTTAATATGTGTCTTATCAACGCTAGGTCGATTTACAATAAAAAGACGCATTTAGCCCTCTTTGTATCCATATATCAACCATCGCTTATAATGATACCTGAAGCATTGACTAACAGTGATATTTTCGACCTGAGTATATCTCTTGATAATTATTTCCTATATAGAAGTGATAGACTGAAAGGACGAGGTGGTGGATGCCTTATTTGCGCTCACTTTAGCTTAAACTCACTATCATGTGAAATGCCTGAATTAAACAAACTGAAGGGTTCGGTGTGGATTGATTTAAAGCCATCGAATTCCATTACCTTACTGTTCGGCTGTGTCTACCATCAATCTAATGCATCAGAAGGTGAAATAGCAGTATTATCAGTAATATTCACACTAACTCCATCCCTCCCATTCACAGGCAAGCTCATTTGTGGTGACTTCAATATGTCTTAAATTTCTTGGTTTCCAGTCAAGGCTCCGAAACGTAATGAATCATTTACTGAATGTCTAGGACTAGGATAGTGGACTCAGTATGTCAGTAGCCCTACCAGACATCAAAATATCTTGGACTTAGTCTTCACCAGTGGCCTCATCCCCATTACTGTGTATATTGGAAAAACGTTTCCAGGTAGTGATCATAACATTGTCGTATGCAGCCTTAATATAAAAACTACAACCGGCAGACATATAACTGTAACACTTTGTAGAAACTATCGCACGGTTGATTGGAAGAACATCCACAATTACCTAGGACGCATCGGCACTGATTGGGGAACTTTCTTTACTGCAAACAATACCGACACACTAACCAATATATTTTATCACATCATCAGAAGTACCATCAACAAAATCGCACCTATAGAATACTGGAGACCTAAATTCTCTAAAGATCTGTGTATACCGGTCGGTACACGAAGACGTCTTCAAAGACATTGTACTCGACTCCACAACTATAATGACTTTTCCTCTTTGGTAACGATGACAGAATTACTTGTCCGAACAGAGAAACAAAAGACAGTGGATCAGGGAAAACGTGCTGTCGAACTTAATAATAACTGCTCTGCAGTCACCGTATTCTTTCAACATAAACTGAAACGTTCCAAATCGAGAGGGAACATATTTATTAAAGACAAACAAGTATACGAAGATCCTAAACTTGTTACGCAACTATTTAGTGAACACTTTTGTTTTTCATTAACTGATGAAAAACCACTAAATGATTCAGAACTAATCCCATCACCTCCCTGTGAAATTACTAATGTAGACTTCAATGTAAAAAATATCTCTAAGGCAATTGGTACATTGAAGCACTCCTACACTAATGGACCAGATGGTATTCCAGCTAGCATGCTAAAAGGTGGAGGTGATGACATGTGCGTTTTACTTCTCAGACTATTTGCGATATCACTCTCTACAGCGCATTACCCTACTGCCTGGAAAACTACACATATCATTCCCAAAATTAAGACAAGACCTGAAGCAAATGTTGAAAATTACCGACCCAGAAACATAACTTCAGTGGTATCTAGAGTGACGGAAAAAGTGGTTGAGTCGGCAGTAATCCAACATCTAATTGCTAATAATCTCATCTCTGTCTCAGCATGGAATTCTTAGGTCC